GCAATCTCATTCAAGTTTAGTTGTATTATTTTCAAATTTGAGTGGCTTAAATTTAGTTTTAACTTTTATATTTTAAGATGTTATTTAATAAGTTTCTATTTTTTTATTTTTTTAGAAAAACAATCTTCTATTGTTAATTGAGGTAAAGCATTACAAAGTATTTTTACATTAGAAAGAGGCACTCTAGCAATTTATTATTTTTATATGTTACAGCACATAAATCCCTTAAAACATAAAATAACTCAAAAATAGATATTTGTATTGATGACTTTTTTGAAAAAAATTAAGTGTGAAGCATGTCCAATGGCGTAAATCCACTGCCTGTTTTCTTAAAAGTGTTAGACTTTCTCAATTATTTATCTTTTCAAAATCAATGAAAAATATTTTCAAAAACTAATATATAAAACAATATTATATTATCAGGTGTTGTAAGAACCAATGGGAACAATCTAATGGGAATTGTTCTTACTCCTCAAAGCAAGGAAGAATTGCTCTTCTAGGTTAAATTTGTAAGGATTTCAAATTAGAGGTCAATTTCATTTCAGACATGGATTTAATGCAAAATGAGAATGTGTGTGTGCCAGGGGCATGTCACTCCAATAACTTGCACAAAGGCAACCACAAAAATAGCAACATTTATCCCACAACAAGTAGATAAAGCATGTAAAGCACCAAACATGTATAGCATCCACAAACATACCTACTTACACAACAAGAGGGGACTCACCTAATACCCCATGCCAACTGCAAAAGATTAGTGGCATAGAGCAATCAACACTCAACATAAAATAAGATATAAATAATTGCAATAAAGCGAAGGAACTCACCATGTACTTGATAACCAAATGTAAAAGGTAAGTACACCTACATTCAAGCAAATAAGCATGTAACTATGATGCATGATGAATAAGCATGTGATATCATGATGCATGAGCATGTGAACAAATGTCATAATGTGGCAAAATAAACATTCAAGGGCAGAAAGATAAAAGCAACCACCACAAAGCAAGCAACAAGCAAGACTCAAACAAACAAACAAAGACTCAAAAACCAAAGAAAATAAAGAACTAAAAAATCCCCAAAGTTAAACTATTAACTTAACCCTCATGAACTTAGAATATGAAAATCAGAGATTTTGGGTTTAATCCCTGGTGGAGTCACCAATTGTTGACAACCACTTAAAAATTTTTCAAAAATGAAATTGAAAAAAAAAAAGTGTGAAAGATTAAAGAAATTGGAGTCACCATTTGTTCCAATTATAATATGAGACAAGTTACTTAAAATGGTCTACGTAGAAATTGGGGTTCGAGCATTTAGTTAGAAGTAAGGAAGGGTATACATGCATTTCATAATCCTCCATGTGAAACACAATTGTATACTTTAACATTGGGGTTTTAGTTTAACTTGTTTATTCCTTAGGTCTTAATTGAGTAAGTTTGAAAAGTAGGTGGACAAAATTGCAGCATTTTAAAACTTTAGGACTGAACTGATAAAATCAAGGACATACATGCACATGTGCAACAACGTAAAAGTTGAATGACTGATTGTACTAAATTTGGAATTTGAAGGATGAATTTTCAATTTTTTTAAATTTGTGGACCAACTGCTTAATCACAGAAAACTTTGGCAGAATTAGAGTTTGGTAAAAAGATAATTTTGACCTTTTAATTTTGACATTGATGAAAGAAAAGCAGACAATTTTAAATTAATTAATCATGATAATTAATTTAATTGAATAATTAATTTAACATTAATTAAGATTAATTATAGTTAATTAGTTGCGTTCATTATTCTTTACTATGATCAAAATAATTAGGAAAATCTAATTAGCTTAATTAAGATAGATAAATTTATTTAATTTACTCTAATTAAAATCAACTAATTCTATTAACTGTACACTAAACTAATCATCATGATCATTTTATTATTATTATTTTTTGGTTTTGTTTTTAATCCATAATAATGCCTAAACTAAACGCGTTAGCTTGATCGTCTCCAAAAACAAAATGCAAACATTAAACGGATAAAAGCAAATCAAACAAGACAGCATTTTTGGGATTTTATGGTTCATATATAATCATTCCATTTCGAACGAGAATTCTACCAAAACAGTAACAATTCACTAATCAATAACCAAATTTATGATTTCAAGCAAGATAAACTTGTAATTTCATATGTTAAGATTTTGAATTTTTAAGTTTTAATTTTTTACAATCCAGCAAGGCAACTGAGTGTAAAAAACTAATGACGTATTGCTTGACATGGCGATTTTAGACGAATTGGTAGCAGGCACATGAGGCACGTCAGATTTTTCCATTAATTTGGTGATGATTCCTCATACCGTGCAGTTTAGGGACTTAAAGTTACAAAAGTTCTAGTTTGAGGAAACTTAAGATCCGGGGTCAAATGGTGATTTTTTTCCATGACGTTCTGAATCTTCAAATAAAAATATGACTATTTTAGGAATATATTAGGGGCGTAGTTATGGCCACAAAGCCAAAATTGAAGGTCATATAGTAATTATTTTAAAAATATTAATTTAATTTAATTTAATTATTAAAAATAATTAATAATTAATAAAATCAACTTATA